AAAAGCTAACCGCAGGCTCAGCGCAGCAACAGTTGCATGCAAATTAGTTGTTGCAGTTGCAGTTGAAGCCAAAACTGGTGTTGGTGTTGGTGTTGTTGCTATTGTTGTCGTGGTTATTTGGCATGTCATAAGGGCGTGTTGGTGTGCCTGTTTGTGTGTGTGAGTTTGCTTTGTTACATTTTAGGTTTTCTTTGCACTTCGCAGCCGGAACTGCCTTCTGCATACAAACATATGTTAACCACATTTATTAAGTTAAGCAGTGAGGCGATCAATGAACAACATAACGAGCTCGTACAGTTATATAAGGGAGTGCTGGTTTTCTTTGGCTATGATTTTGCCGTTGAACCATAAATTTTATTAAACAATAACTTACTTGTTGCCTTGCTACCAACTCTTTATGATTATGGAAGTGCACTTCCTACAACTTTATATAATATTTTTATACTCTGCACCCAACGTATTAAAAGTATACTAGTTTAATGCGAGTGTACAAACACACAGAAGGACGCTGTTCGCTGTCTGTTCGTCTGTCTGAGCACAAGGATCTCTAAAAGTAATAGCGCCAGCATAATCAAACTTGGTCTTCGTAAGTATTCCCTAAGTGATAGATGGATAGATAAAGCTTGTGTTTTTCAGATGCACTCCTCCATACAAATATTGAGCCGACAATATTGCTGATCCGTCTAAAGGCGACGGGCCCAATTCAAGGCGGCACTTAAAATCCAGACTAAGCCACAAGCTCTTCGCTCAGGCCTCGAGCGACGATTAATTAAGCAACAGCTAAGGTAAGAAATGTTCCCGCCAAACGCATGAATCAAAGAGGGCGGCCAGCGGCGGCCCTTCACCTAAGTCTGCAAATGAAAATCTGGGATGGTCAGAGCCCCTACCACTGAAGGAAATGCTTGCCGACCTGGTCTTACTCCAGAAGCCTTGTATAGCACCGGCCAAGAGGATTCTGAACTTAAGACGTCGTACTTTTCATCTTCTTCTTCTAGAGCAAGGACGGTTATCGTCGTGTGGAAAGTACATATGTATGAGTATCTGCTCTTACCAAATGTCCAATTACAGGACGGAATGGCCGCACAGTTGTGACACTTCCCATTATATGGAGGCACCACCGGACGAACTAAAGGTTCTAATATGCATATTTTTTTTTTTAAATAACCAAAATTCATGCCAAAAATGTCAGGGGCTGTAATCATTATAATTGTTATTAAAAATAATTACAAAAAATTGATTTTTTTTTTAATTTTATTAATTCGCTCACGATTTAATGATTAATTTTGCGATTTACTTTAAACATTAACCAATAATCATTTTTGATGAGCCAAAAAAATAGAACTTATAAAATAATGATTATTCTTGATCAACAAAAATAAAACTCATGCTGAAATTTTGTCTGTTTCATAAGGATTAAGGATAAAACTAATATATATCCTTCATCAGTAACTCAAGGCAACCAATTTTAATTAATTAATTTTTTTTTTTAATTCACAATAAAATCTTAATTTTTAAAAAATTTTATTTTTATTTCATTAAATATTAACTTTAACTATTAATTGTTTAATTTTACAAAAAATAGTTTTTGCAATGAGTCCGGCGTAAGGTTGCACCTTAGACCCGATAACACAAATTTTAGGGCGGAATATGCACAACTTTAGCCAGATTGTATAAATTGGAAAACTTGAACTTTTTTCTTCCCAGTATTGCGTTTTATTTATAGTTATGTCAGCTGCCTTTGGGGTTATAATTATCTAATTCCAGATAAGCCGTTTTTAGTTTCTTGTCAAATACTTCTTCTTCGTCACCTGAAGCTACGTCTATAGAATTGAGGAACTCATTTAAAAAAGAGCGGGTTCTTGATTCAGTATTCTTATAATTATATTCAATGCAAAAAATCATAGAATTTCGAACTCAAATTGCAATTTGCAAATACCCAGTTAGTGCGTATGTGTTCGTGTGCCAAGTTTCATCATGATGGACCGATTTAGCAGGAAGTTATAGCTATAAATGTATTTGCTGTCCAAGCACTGCCCGCAGCTGTTGTTGATGCTGGTGTTTTGGTTGACTGCAAACATGTTCACACAGACACGAATAGACGCGCATAGACATACAAGTACATACACGCAATTGCTATGTAAATGTGCAATTATACACCCTTTACGTGAGTTTGAATACCAAAAGAGGTAAAATCGATCAAAAGTTTGTGTTTAAATTATCTTAATTTTTGTAATTTCTATAATTAATCTAAACATATGTACAGAGTATTTCAAAGCCGGGACACCCGACTTTAGCTTTTTTACTTGTTTTTATAAAGACATGTCGGTTTCCACCCGTTTAACTGATCAAGAGCGTGTTCAAATACAGGCACTTCGAGAAATGGGCATGTCAATACGGAAAATTGCAGAGAAAGTGGGTAGAAGTAAACGTACTGTGGACAATTTTCTGAAAGATCCACTAAACTATGGTAAAAAGCCACGTTCTGGTCGCCCACCACAATCCCTGGCGGTCAACGAAAACATTAGTGCCTCAAAGATTCGTCATAAATTGCCACTTCCAGTGTCCAGTAGTGTCATATGAAAAAAACTACTTGCTCGACACAAAGCAACTCGGGAGCAATTGCCGACTCGTACAAATTTTGGGACCTAGAATAGCGCAATGTTATATTTAGCGATGAAAACAAATTTAACTTGGACGGCCCGGATGGATATCGTTGTTATTATCGCGATTTAAGTAGTCAAAAGAAAATCCGCGTATCGAGAAATGTTCATGGTGGATCTCTAAAGATTTGGCCTGCATTTGGCTATAATGGAAAGCCTCCTATTTGTTTTGTGACGCATTCCATGAATGCCGAAAATAATTTTGAACTCTTCGATTTAGTTTTGGTAAACTTTGGGGAGGACTATTTGGGAGACGTATGGGCATTTCAGCAGGACAATGCGAGAATCCATACTGCAAAGCGCAGCGGACCAGACCAGATATGAACCATTGTAACATATACATATGTTCTTTTTAATTCCAAACTGAACGTTTGTTCTATTTTTTTTTATTTTACCCCCCCCCCCCCCCCACACTCCCCCCTATGGGGGTTTTCCCGTAACGCCGTTCGTATAATCGCCTATATCTCTGAGACTATAAGACCTAGGGATATCAAATTTGAAGTCCAAGATGCCTTATGTGAATACGTAGAAAATGTATTTTTGGAATTCTCCTCTACCCCCTCTCCCACAATTTGTAATTTTCTCTAACTTCCGTAATTCTTAAAATTGTACGAAAGTTGCGGCCTGTTTTGGCGATCTGTGTTGCAAAATTTAGTATTTGAAAATGAGTTCAGAAATTAAAAAAATGCTGGTGTTTTAAGTACACATTCAGTAATTTGCTAATTTAATAATATTTACGTGGGATATGCAAAATAGTTTTGATGCAGGTTGTTCAGAAAAACAATTTATATTTCAATGAATATTTTTATTTGGAAAAATGTGCTTGTTAGTGTTTTAAATCAAAGCTCCTAGCAAAGCAAAAAGATTTGAAACATCCCAAAATGGGAACCGAGAATTGGTTTTGAGGTGAAGCTTGGTCGTAAGAGATTTCAGTGGCATCCTGATAGTATTTCCCTGCTCCCGAAGCATAAAACGGGTGTATGTATTAGGTTTGTGTAAATCTATGCAATTAAAGGAAGATGCAATTTCGACGATGCGCTGGTCCGGGTATACCCGCCAGTCAGAAATTATTATTTTGGGCAGCCCAATGGAAATAAATATTCGGATTGGGAACAGAAAAATATTTATTTTAAGTGCCTTCGCTGGCAAACTCATCACGCCTTTCTTTCTTGCCGCTCAGAGCTGAACTGAAAAATCTTTTGTTATTGCACAATTCTTAACTTAAGCTTACACGCATATTTATTATTACACGCTTGTATAATTGCAATTATTTGTATACCCTGTACCCAAAGGGTGAAAGGGTATACTAGTTTTGTGTAACAGGGAGAAGGAAGCGTGGCAGAACCCACAAAGTATATATATTTTTGGTCAGGGTGACAAGCGGAGTCGATATAGCCATGTCCGTCTGTCCGCCCGTCTGTCTGTATGAACGCAAGGATTTCAGAAATCCAGTTCATCCAGGTTATGATTATGTGTCCGTATCACAAATGAAATAATTAATCGTCAAGTTTATTCAACAAATTCAATGATTGTCCACGATGGACCATTTTAAATAAAAACACTCTTCGAAGTGCTTTTCGCAAAGAAGTAGTGGGTGAGTGTTTAGTTATGTTTAGATGCCTGAGAAAACGACTAAAGTATGGTGTTATAAAAACGTACGCCAACCCATCCCCTCCTGGTAATATTTAAAATATCATTTGCGTGTTACCCAACATACTTTATCCACCTTCCAATATTTTGCGGTCATTGTTCATTTTTCCAAGAACCTTAGATTGTTCCTAAAATTAAAAAGGAGTAAATGGACTTGTTTGTACGTAGAGGCTAACAATGTTGTATTCCAAAAATATATTAGCAAAAATGTTTACTCTTTTATTAACGTTCATTGAAGCAGTTAATTGCACAGTTAATTAATTGCATGATGTCCGTCATTAAGCCCAAGACTGGTGTCAGGAGCTTTTCAAACGTTTTTTGAGTCGTTTGGTTGCTTTCAGCTCAACTATTAAAGCAGTCTTGTGGCTTGAGCGGGATAGATCAGTACATGGTACCAACGTGGTCTCTTGTTTTGCAGTCAACAATACAAAATTTCAGTGAAACAACAGATTTACTAACTAAGCCATAATAAATGTGTTGCATGCTTAATTTTCAAATCAAAATTGGTGTCTCTTTTCATTTATTCATCGCAGGAATGGTGGTGCTGCCAGATTACAATAACAAGACGTATCGTGTGGACGATGTTGTAGCGTGACTTGTAGCCTGTACGTTAAATTTAATTATTTTTAAAATTTAACGACTCGCCATCTGTTGGTCAAGCTAAACAGTAGCCTTTAACAGGTACAAGGTGAAAGTGAAATAGCAGCAGCAAACGTCAACAAAAGGAAGAAATTGGCGCCTTTCACTGACGCTATGTTAAAAGCTTTCGTTCGCGCCAGCGGTAGTACGTTCGCTCTTTTTTATTCCGAACGTCGATCAAGCCAGAAGTGTATGAAGTGTTAAGTTCAACTTGTCGAAATAAAAAAAAAAAAAGTCAAATTTTCTTCCGCTGGCAAGAAAGCAAATGCTTGTGCCTTTTGTGGGAAAAAAAATAAAGTTCACAAATTAAATTCAAAAGAGTGTAATTGTTCTGTTTAACCGCTTTGAAGGGTACAACCATCAAAGCCGCTAAAATATTTGCGGAAGAAGTATCAGACCTCGGTAAGTTGCAGATTGCGTGATTTTTTTTTTGCAACAAGTGTTTAGGCAAGGCAGTCTGATAGGCATTAAATTGATTTGCAGGGCCTTGATCAGCTGTCTGCAACAACAAACCTTGCCTGGGACTTCCACTCGGTCGGCCGCAGTGCCTAGAGGGAGAATAAACGGCAGGAAAAAAAGAAGAGAGCAACTTCCAGGCTAGCTTTCCCGTCCACTCAACACCCGGCAGCTTCTACTTTAATTTGGGAGTGTAGAAAAGGCGGCTATAGCGACCAAACGTCGGCGGGGGCGCGACCCTTTTTAAATCGGCGACCAAACGTTAAAATAAGTATCGGAACTCGCCCGGAGGTGTTACCCATTTTTTTTCTTAATTTTTGTTGTTGTTGGTGTCGGTTTAGTGCCCGAAAAAAAGTAAAAATCCCGAGTAAATTCGGGTAAGATTGCAGTGGCGCGCAAGCGCCGAAGAAGCCGTATGCCGGCGTATTAGTATTTATAAGGTTAGGCTAGTTTTTTTTTATATATGTTAATTTGTCCAAATCAGTGGCAAAATTTTATTTGAAGTGCTCGTGATATGTATGGTTTTAATTGTTAAGCCACTGTTTTATTTTTGCATTTTTTTTTCTTGTTGCCTTATTCCGTAATTCGGAAGGCACCAATTTTTTTTAGTGAGAACGTGAGAGCGATTATTGGTTCTCTCTTGCGCTTGTGCGCTTTACTTTGCTTCCCGCGGTTTTTTTTGTTTGCGCGCTCTTATTCCAGCGCGGTGTCTTTTTTTACAGCTACGCTCGTTCCAGACGGAAAGCGCTTTCTGCGTGGGATCAGCAGCCCAGCCGTAAGTAGACAGCTGTTTATTTATTCTTTTATTTGCATTTGATTTCAAAAAATGGGTCATTGGAAGCGCAATACTCACTAAAGAAAGTTTATATTTATTTTTATTCTCTACGCCACTGAACGGCTGTTTAATGAATTTTTTTTTTCTTCGAGCAATATTTATTTATATTTTAAAAGGTTAAATTTTTAGATATTGTAATTTTTTTTCTCTTTTATTATTTTTCGATTTATTGAATTTGTTAGTAATAGTATGTTCAGCAATTTGTTTTATGTTTTCCTTTAACACTCTCATTTTTATTCCCATTTAAATAAATTATAATGTGTTACTAATTTATCATTTTTTTGATTTCACGCCAAACCCAATGCCTTCGTAAGTTTTTGTTTCCAGCAAAGGGGTCATTGTTAATATTCTTTTTTTTTTGATCTGTATGTGGCTTTTAGTAATGACCAAGGTAGGGAGGGCATATTCAGACTCGCCAACATCTGAGTTCTGATCATGTGTGTGCAGTTTAGTGTAGGTGCAAGTCCGTCCGAAGTCAGTTTAAGTGTTTCTCTTCCGGTTTTGTTTTCTCGTCTGATGCACGCTTATTTAAAATAAATAATAAGCATGGGACATACATGACGTAGGAGGTAAAGAACACCACCCAATTGCCGACGAGCCAGAGCCGGAACTCTAAGCGTGCCGCTCCTACTCATGTCGACCACCTAGTCCCAAATTCCTTCTGTAACCGTTACAATGTGGATTATAGTGCCTCCCCATTGTCTGTGTTCTCCACTAAGGATGGGGATATTTCATATGATCAATATTACAAAAAGGTATTCAATGCATTGCTTCATTATATCTTACCATCTTTAATATATCTGGGCAACCTCCCCATAAAAGGTATTCCACATTAATATGTCAACACTTTGGTTTAAAAAAGTGGATTTTCGAGTTGCCAAAGAGTCTGTGATCTTATCGAGATGCCTTAGGTAGTTCTCCATACATTTATGTTCTAAGTTAAAGCTCAAATACACAATCAAGTATCATTTTTAGCGCTATAATATCACCATACGGGACCTCAAACAGCCGCTTCTTCTTTCTCATCCAACCGAAAGGAACATTGTGCAGGATTGGATCAACTTATAATGCTGAACCCAGAGCTGGCACGGGATACCCGTATCAACAATGCAATGCGGGCTGATTTCAGGTTAGTCGAATTGGTACGCACCTATCAGCTGTCACTCTTATCAATGTTTCTTTTACCATGCATGTTTTTAGTCGGCGCTTGTTGACTTCGGCGCAGATCGTGCAAGTTTTGAAATCATGGAATATGGATCTAGACAAGAATCTGGTTGAGATACCCGCTCGCGTTCTGATGCCAGAGAAAATTAATTTTGGCAACCAGAAGCACTACGCTCTGATTGGACTGGCGCCACTTATGTTACAGAAAAGGTTGTCGTCCGAGCAGACAAAATCGTGAAGTAGGAAGTTTCCCTTCACAGTTTCAAAAACTCCTCAATAATTAGTGTTGTCTAAGGGTGCAAAGAGCGTGCAGAAAGCTCGACCAAATGGAGTAGATGGACATTATTAGAAGCGAACTGTTGCATACTTACTTGCGCCAAACTTACACCAAACACACCACGTCTACCACCGTGCGAGGTGAGAGGTCAGAAGCTCTAATACGAAGACACAAACCACACAGTCTCGTCCTCCAATAAAGGCATGGTCGAGATAATTCATCGTATTTGTTTATAAAATCTGCAATCTAAAGTCTGCAAATGTAGAAATTATTTTCAAAAATATTTGTGGTCTATTATTCTAGGAACTGGGTATTCTGTTTAGAATTCCGTTTCCAGGTACAATTAATATTTATGTATAATGAATGCACTGTGAAATATCAGAGGGCAAGTGCTGTGTGGGTGAGCTCTGCCGTTTGGTAGCGTGCAGGTGCTCGAGACTTTCAGTCCGACTCCGTTGCTTGACATTGTTGGTTCTCGTGTGGCTGGTGCTCGCGGGGTTGTCAAAAAGCTTAGACAACGAAATTCGTTTTGCACCTAAATCGCGTCTAAGTTGTTTGTCGCTCGTCGGTCGTGTAAAATAATTGCTGTCTATGGCATTTTGATATTCCGTATCGGATTTTTATTTGACTTGTTGAAGCGTCGCACAGAACGCAACGCTTGTGTTTGTTTAGCTGTGAGTGTGAAATAAAATAATCTTTATAGCCCTAACGATCGCTGGCGTTACAAGTCGACACGAACGCAGCTAGCAAGGTGAGTTTTTTTCCTCATCAGCCAACAGCCAAGTACTTAGCAGCCCAGCAGCTGGCTCGACTGTTGTACAACTACAAGCTTAACGGCATCGAGAGTTTGGATAGCGAGAGCAGAGCGAAAGTTACGAGCTCTGGAAAGCTTCCGCATGATGTTTGCCCGGTCTCTGCAGCAGAGGCGGGATCGCTAATAAATGACTAGACGATACCCTAATCGAAGCAATTCATGCAACGATCCAAATAATATTCAATAAATAAAACTTAACGAGAAATAACTTTTTGCACCGACCTTGTATGGTATTTTAAATTGGGTTTTCCCCCAAATAAAAATGTTAAATGAACTTAATTTAAAATAGTCCAAGCAGATAAGAGGACGAGCTCTCAAGGGATGAGGGTTCACTGTGCAAGGCGAACTAATAAGCTTGCACAAATATTAGGCAATATCACAATACAAAATTCGATCTTACTATGGAGAATATGGGCTATAAGATCGAACAGAAAAATTGGTTTTCATTATTCGCAGTCACAGATGAGATGAAAGCAAACTTTCGTCTTCAATTCATACATAGAGTATTAGATGCCAACAATCTTTTGGGAAGGCATGCTCGGACTTAAAAAGCTGACACGCTTATAGCCGTGATCAGTTTCACGGGCTCTACTGTACTTATGAATGGGCCCAAACAATCTTTACTGCAAACTTGAACTAGTGATTTAATTTGCTTGCACGTTCGCTCTCACATTCCCACGCTCGCTCTGTTGGCTTTTCAAAGCTTTTTGGTTTTTGGCCTTTTTTCTCATCTCCTCACTACTTTTCCCATGTCGCGTGTTCAGCAAATAGCCACAAGTAGTACATACATACATACATATGTACATATATACATACATACATGTATATAATTGAAGTTTGACGTGTCGGCGGCCGGCGTGCCTTATTAATTATTCATAACGGGCACTTGCCGTTAGGCAGCGGCACAGTGGGCTATAATGGGGATATCTGTAGTTGATTTATGAAATGCACATTTCAAGTATACTAGATGCATTCTTAGTGCGTCATGCTAGTGCATTGTACATTGCTTTATATTTGTAGTGACATTTTTTTACGCAAATCAATATAATTTTTAAGTGCGAGCTGTGTTGATTTTATGTTTAACACAGCAGAGTCAATATTTTGGTACGCCTGTGTTTTGAGTTTTCAGCCGCAAAGCATGCAACACAATTCTAGGCACGAACAAGAAGAGCTTTTTGTTGTAAAGCTCTTTGTAAGCTCTTTGGTTTCTCGTGCATACATGTATTGCACAAAGTATGGTTGGTTGCCCTAGGGTTCAACTACATTTTAGTAACAAATTGCAATTAATATGCAAATTAAAAACAAGTAAAAAAGCTAAAGTCGGGTGTCCCGACTTTGAAATACTCTGTACATATGTTTACAATAATTATAGAAAATAAAACAAGTAAAAAAGCTAAAGTCGGGTGTCCCGACTTTGAAATACTCTGTACATATGTTTACAATAATTATAGAAAAAAAAAAAATTAAGAAAATAAAAAAAAAAATTTGATCGATTTTACCTCTCTCGGTATTCGAACTCACGTATAATTGCACATTTACATAGCAATTGCGTCTGTGTGAGTGTATGTATGCCTATGCGCATCAATTCGTGTCTGTGTAAGCATTTTCGCAGTCAACCAAACAGCAACATCAACAACAGCCGCGGGCAGCGCTTGAGCAGCGCTTGAGCAGCGCTGCAGCAGCGCTGCATCAGCAAATATATTTATGGCTATAACTTCTTGTTAAATCGGTCTATCATAATGAAATTTGGCATACGGACACATAATAACCAACTGGGGGTATTTCCAAAATTTTAGTTCGAAATTCCAAGAATTACGGGAGTTACGATTTGCGGGGTAGAGGGGGGAGGGAGGGGAATTCCAAAATATACATTTTCTGCGTATTCACATAAGGCATCTGGGAATAAAATTTGGTGCTCCTAGGTCTTATAGTCTCCGAGATATAGGCGATTATACGAATGGAAAATCGGGAAAACCCCCATAGGGGGGAAGTGGGGGGGAAAATCAAAAAAATAAAACAAACTCGTATAGAATACACACATAACGCATCTTTGTGCAAAATTTGGTGTCTCTATCTCTTATAGTCTCTGAGATCCAGGTGTTCATACGGACGGACAGACGGACAGACGGACAGACGGACAGACGGACAGACAGACAGACAGGGCTAGATCGACTCGTCTCGTCATGCTGATCAAGAATATATATACTTTGTGGGGTCTGCCACGCCTCCTTCTGCCTGTTACATTTTTCAGCTCCCGCAAACCTAATATACTCTTGTACATTTCATGTACAGAGTATAAAAATTAAGAAAATAAAAAAAAAAAATTTGATCGATTTTACCTCTCTCGGTATTCGAACTCACGTAAAGGGTGTATAATTGCACATTTACATAACAATTGCGTCTGTGTGAGTGTATGTATGCCTATGCGCATCAATTCGTGTCTGTGTAAGCATTTTCGCAGTCAACCAAACAGCAACATCAACAACAGCCGCGGGCAGCGCTTGAGCAGCGCTGCAGCAGCAAATATATTTATGGCTATAACTTCTTGGTAAATCGGTCTATCATAGTGAAACTTGGCATACGGACACATAATAACCAACTGGGGGTATTTGCAAAATTTTAGTTCGAAATTCCAAGAATTACGGGAGTTACGATTTGCGGGGTAGAGGGGGGAGGGAGGAAAATTCCAAAATATACATTTTCTGCGTATTCACATAAGGCATCTGGGACTAAAATTTGGTGTTCCTAGGTCTTATAGTCTCCGAGATATAGGCGATTATACGAATGGAAAATCGGGAAAACCCCCATAGGGGGGAAATGGGGGGGAAAATCAAAAAAATAAAACAAACTCGTATAGAATACACACATAACGCATCTTTGTGCAAAATTTGGTGTCTCTATCTCTTATAGTCTCTGAGATCCAGGTGTTCATACGGACGGACAGACTGACAGACGGACAGACGGACAGACAGACGGACGGACAGACAAACAGACAGGGCTAGATCGACTCGTCTCGTCATGCTGATCAAGAATATATATACTTTGTGGGGTCTGCCACGCCTCCTTCTGCCTGTTACATTTTTCAGCTCCCGCAAACCTAATATACTTCTGTACATTTCATGTACAGAGTATAATTAACTTACCAAGGCCTTTTTTTGAATCGAAATAACGACTAGATGTCCATTACGATTTTAAGTAGTTCTACAGATCGAAAATTGCTCTAATATACTAATTATTTTATTCTAATTATGTAAAACTCCTGGAAATTTGTAAACACTCATTAAATAGTATTTTCAAAATGTGATCCGAGCACAGCAGCAGGATATACAAAGATGGTAATGACAATACTACTTATCCAAAGTTACTGCCGAAGCATTAAGCTGGTGAAAAGTGGTTTCTGAGAATCAGAACTGAACACACAATTTATAAGCTTTGATAATAATAATACTATGCAGTACTATTGATTCACGCTGTAAATGGAATGGAAATGGCATGAAATCTTTACCTTTAACATGTGTTTTATTAAGGAAGACAAACTTTGACAATTTGAATCATGATTCAGCCCACTCAAGGAATGATTCCTGCCAGCTTGTTAAGCTATGTCAGGCCCCATCTGTATTGTCTGAAGATTGAATTTTCATCTATTTAAAGATTCGCTTTCCCGTTTAGGCAGTGTAATGCACTCATTTCTCAGCTAAACCAAGGGCCAATTGTTGTATGATTTCAGAAAGGGCTTAATATAAAACTTATACTCTTATATAGTACGGATTCTCATTTTTCCTTGCCAATTAAAACGATTATTTTGAAAGCTGGAGTCTCTGAGTAAGATGAAGGTTGCTTCTAATGCCTGCTGTGCTCCTCACAAATATAGTATCACAGAGCGATGTAGCTTCGAATCGAAGTTAAATTTAAGAAACACGAGTAAAGGAGCTCTTTCCCAATATTATAGCACTAGCACTATTTAAATACATACTTAGATACAGGGCTTTCAACATTCATGCGAACTGGAACTATTTTTGCTAGCGATAGAAGAAATAATATGAATAGTAGAATAACTGCATAGATAGTGATCTTATTCTTTGTGCACATATGGAGTCTTTTATTAACAGTTTCGGTTGGGATCCTCTTTAAAGGCTTACTTCTTCAAAGTGAGTTAAAGTTGTAAGTTGTTCCTTCCTTTTGTGGGTTTATAGATTCGTCAATAGGTGCCTTTATTCTCTTTTAAAGCCAACAGTCCACATTGGCTGTATGCTGAAATTGGAATAAAATGTAAATATTGTATAGCTACGATAAAAAGCCAGCTACATATGTGAACAATATTCACGTTAATATTTCAACAGTTATAACCAAATTCAAAGCAAATATTTCGACAAGCTAAATGCTCCTCCGAACCAATTCGTCCTTTAACTCACTCTGCAAGCAACACGGTCAAGACTC